CTCCAACGTTGGGCAAGGGTGTGCCCCCTCTCTGTCCCCCCGCGTTGGGCAAGGGTGTGTCCCCTCTCTGTCCCCCCACTCATCCGCAGCCCCGGTGTTCCCGGTGTCTCTGGGACGGAGTGGGGCCCCTGAGCTGGCAGCAGCCCCTTCCCCCGGCTTCTCCCCCTTCTTCCTCTCTAGCAAGTTTTCTGAGCCCAAATTAATTACCTGAGCCACGCTGAGCTTTGGTGGGCTTCAATTTGCCTGGCAAAGATCATTGCTGCTTTTCAAACCCATTTCTTCATTTATGTGATGCCAGGTGGTTTTGGGGGGGTTACACAGCAGGGAAGGGGGGCGACACAGCCCCTATGGCAATCACGGCTTGCCCAGTGCTTGCCGGCCACCATGAGTGAGAGCGCAGGAGTGCACCAGTCCCACGTTGTGCACCAGGCGTCAGGGCTTCAGGTACATCTCGCCCATGATCTTGTAGGGGAAGTTTCTCCAGCTGAAGACGGGGGCTTCGTCGGGGCTGTTGTGCATGGCTGCCATCACCCCCGAGGTGGAGATCCCCGTGTCTCACATGTACACGGATGAGATTTCCCCCACAAAGGACTGCTGGGTGTCAAAGCCACCCCTGAAGGTGTCCTGCTCCTGCCCCAGCAGGAGGGCCGCCTCCGCCCCCATGTGTAGCCCCTCTGCAGCCCCTTGCGGGGCCAGGGCTTCCTCTTGAACCAAAAGCCCATGATGCCAGTGATAGACTCCCAGCTGGCGCAGACATGCTCGCTCGCCACGATGCTCTTGGGGACACCAAAGGACACAAACCTGCCCCCCATATAGAGCCAGTACACCCAGGGCTTGGGCTTGAAGAGGAGGATCTTGTCCTGCACCTTGGTGGCGTAGGAGAAGAGGCTGTAGGGCTGGGTCAGGTCGGTGTAGGACCACAGGCACACAGTGAAGTTCTGCAGTGGCTCCTCCAGCTTCATTGTCACAAGCTTGTGGGAGTCTTTGGTCTCTTGGGGAAACACAAACACTTCGTACACCAGGTCTGGGAGAGGTGAGAAAGAGGTGGCTGCTCCTGCCATGGTGAAGGCATCCGGCCAAGTTCCCCAAGGAGAAACAGGGTTGCAGTGTGCCAGCGAGGAAGCCACCACCAACCTGGAGGTGGCCTCTGGCATAAGACCCAGAGGTGGCTTCCACCACCAAGACCGGCCATGCGTGGGCTGTGATATGGGGTGGCACAGGAACGGGGTGGTGAGGACGAGCTGTCAGAAGGAGGGGAAGAGCACTTATCCCCAGCTGTCCCCTTGGTCCCTTCCCTATCATTTATCCACAGGTTGAAGGTGGCCACGTCGGTGCCCAGGGAGCCGGTGGCCGTACAGACGTAGGTGCCCAAGTGGGTCTTGCTGAAGGAGGGGAAGAGGAGGACATTGTTGGGGCCTTTCTGCAGGGGGTCGTAGCTTCCTTCCTTCTTCTACAGGAACTCCTGGGGTCTGAGCCAGGCTGGGTGTCACTCAGGTGGGTGGACACGCTGGGGTGGCCATGCCATGGGGTGGGGTAACACAGAAGGACCATGGTGCTCCCTCCCCAGCCCCTTCTTCTCCCACTGCCCACAGGGCTGGGGATGCTGGAGCTGCCTGCCCCATGCCGGTGCTGTGCTAGAGGCTGCAGGAGAGTGGGGAGCACCTTACCCGGGGTCCCCTGTGACCTCGCAGCAGAGCATCAGCTGGTGGTACAGGGTGGGTGCCGGCGGGTGAGCCTGGATCCGGGCGGTCACTTTTCCTGCAGCACCCAGCGGGAAGGGCCAGACTGGGCGGGGGGGCTCTTCCTGTCCCCCTGTCCCCACCCGTGGTGCCCGGCTGCACCAGCCTGTGGGAGCCCCGTGTCCCCACCACCGCCCCAGCCGCAGCCCTGCAGCACTCTTCATGGTGCTTGGTGTTGTGTCCCTGCCGCCCCCCACTGCTGGCCCCACTGCGGCGCTCAGGGTGCCCCTTTTGGCTCTTGCTACACTGCCATCGCATCTCTTCCCCCACCCCTGCTGCATCCCCTTGCACCCCCAGCGCACTGCGCTGTGCCCACTGCACCCCTCTGCAGAGCTCCAGGTGCTTCCTCCACTGCATGGCTACTGCGTGATCCCCACGCCTCCCCCTGCACCCACTGCACCCCTCTGCAGTGCTCAGGGTGCCCCACTGCTCCCCACTGCCACCACCACTGCATGTCCCCCTATACCCATTGCACCCACTGCTCCCGCTGCTCCTCACTGCACTTTCTGTTCTCCCCATGGGACCCAAAGGGGGTCCCGGCACAGCCCCTCTGCCCCTACCTCGCAGGGCAGCGAGGCCGAAAAGCACCGTGAGTGTGAGGAAGCAGAGCCACAGCTGCCTCATGGCACTGCTGAGCCTGGCCACCGGCACCTCCATGGTGAGGGAGAACTGCAGAGCCACTGCCACAGCGCTGGGGCTGCTTAGGGTCTGTGCCAGGGTGAGCGCAGCTATGCAACAGTGACATTCACCCATGACCTTCGTCCCCAAGTGCCTGGAGGCACTGACCCACAGGGCTGTTTGGCAATCTGGTGAGGGGCCCGGGGCCGGTTTGCCTGCCCGGGAGCCTGCAGACCCAGCGGGCTGGCAGGGAGCCTGGGGACGGTGGGTGTGCATGGGGACGGGCATCGGGGACAGGTCCTGCATCCCCAAGGGCTTGTGCTGAGCCCCTGCCTGCTCATCCCTAATCACTTATGCTGTTTCGTGTGTGGCTGGGCAGCGCTGGAGCTGGTGGATCTGCATCCTGCCCACGTGGAGGCTGGCCATGGGGCAGCTCCAGGGGGGGGGTGCGGGGAAGGGAAAGGGTGCCCCAGGCATCAGTGATGGGTTGGTGGCGGGTGCTGGCGCTCAGGGGGACTCTGCCAGGCTGAGTGGTGCCCCCAGCCCTCTCCAGCTCCATCTGAGCCCCGTCCTGACCAGAGCTCCCTGGCTGGGGCACGCAGACGGCACCTTCTTGGCAGGTTGTAGAGGCGAAGGGGTGATGGGGATGGGGAGGGGAGAGCGGGGTCTGAGGCTGCTCCAGTCCCAGACCCGGCCGGCTCTCATGGCCCCAGCACCTCCCGGAGCCGGGGTTTCACTACCACATCACCTTTCACCTCGTAGCTCAGGTTCTTCCAGGCCAGGACAGCAGGCGGCAGGCGTAGGGACTGGTAGGCGGCTCGCATCTTGTCTGGGGACAGCCCCGCATCCCACAGGTAGACGTCGGTCAGCTCGCCCGAGAAGGAGTTGTAGACGTCAAAACCACCCCCGAAGGCGTCCTGCTCCTGCCCCAGCAGAATGGCCGCCTCCGCCCCCACCATGTAGCCCCTCTGCAGCCCCTTGCGGGGCCAGGGCTTCCCATTGAGCCAAAACTCAGCAATGCCGGTGGCCGACTCCCAGCTAGCACAGACGTGCTCCCAGTCCCCGTGGCCCTCAGGGACGCGGAAGGTGACGAACTTGCCCCCCACGTAGAGTCGGTACTCGCTGGGCTTGGGCTTGAAGAGGAGGATCTCATTGTCCTGCGCCTTGGTGGCATAGGAGAAGAGGCTGTGGGGCCGGGTCAGGTCAGTGTAGGACCGCAGGCACACGGTGAAGTTCTGCAGCGGCTGCTCGAGCTTGGCCCTCAGCAACACGTAGGCATCGCTAGGGTCCTTCCGGAAGACGAACACCTTTCGGTACAGGTCTGGGGGACGAGAGAGGGGATGCGGTGGGAGGTTGGGGTGTCCTGCAGCCCCCTCTGACTGCCTCTGAGCCTTCCTCTGTTCCCCCCGGGTGATTCCGCATCCCTGACATCCCTTCTGCTGACCCCAGCCTTGCTCCAGCATCCTCCAGCCCTGCTGACTGGGCTCTGGCATGAAGCAGAGGGCTCAGAGAGCTGCTGCCACGTACCCCCTGGACCTGCCCTGCCCTGTGCCAGCTCCTGTCCCCCAGCATTGCCCCTACCTTCCTGGGCCACGATCCCCGAGATCCCGGCCAGGACAGCAAGCCAGAGCTGCAGCTGACCCATGGTCCTGGGCGTTGCAGTCGGTGCAGGGAAAGGAGCCGCCTCAGTGCAGGGCTGCCGCCCGCCAGGTTTATGGGCCGGAGGGTGGGAGTGGAGCCGCGTCCCGCCAATCCCGTCCCCAGCAGCCTGGCATGCCTGGGAGGAGTGATTTCATGCCGTCACGCGGCCGTGCCACAAGACCCTAGGTCACCCGCCTGCACGGGGCTCCCCTTGGAGCTGTGCCCACCCGGGCCAGGGGGGCACCCCAGCTGCGTGGCTTCACCTCGGTCCTCTCGTCTCCCCGCCCCGGGCAAACGCCCTGTGGGAGTGACCCGGTTTGATCCCGGCTCATCTGAGAAGCACAGGGGAAGCTGCCCCTGGCCCCCTCGCCCTGACCTGCGGCTCTTGGGCATGTCCCCGGGCTCTGCTTGCCCCTTCCTGGCCAAAGGGACAGAGCCCAAAGCCAGAGCTGTGGGCACCAGGTGGCAGAAGAAACCGCAGCAAAGCCGAGTGACCGAGGGTCCGGTGTCCTCCGAGGGTGCCCGTGGTCTGGGCATCCTCTGAGGGCGTCCGTGTGTCCTGCGACCAGACAGGGCTGGCACACAGTGCGCCGTGCCCCCCGCCTGGGATGCATCCTGGTTGGAAAGAGGGAGGATTTCGTCTGCTCCGGGCTCTTAATGATGGTGCTGGATTGGCTGCTGGGCAGGGGGTCCGGGCTGGGATGTGGGGCCGTTGCATGGGTATGCTGGGGGGGACAGGTGGCAGGGCAACAGCAGGATGCTCTCGGCCGTGGGTGGCTGCCCCCTTTTTGGGGACAATGTGGGCTCGTTCCCTGCCGAGTCAGTACCTCAATTTGCCAGGGATGAGCCCCCAGGTCCTGCAGGGCTTGGCTCAGCCGGGGCAGCTCCTTGTGTGCCACTGTGCCAGGTCCTGGACCCCCCGGGTGGGCAGCTCTCAGCTGCAGGCTCGCACCCCTCCATCGCCCCCCCTCCAGCTCTCCACCCACACCCGTTTCACATCCCATGTGCCTTGTGACCACACGTGGCTGTCCCTCGTGGACCATGGCTCAGATGCCTCCAGCGCTGGATATAAATCACCCCAATTCCCGCTAATAGACTGCAGACCTTCATTATGAACTTTTCCTGCTAATTTGGAGGCATGAGGAGCACACACCTCCTGCTTCCCGTCCCTCAGCCCACAGGAGCCTGGCTAGAGGTGATGGATGTCACCCCCCCGTCCCCCCCCTGCACCTCCCAGCCCCTGCCATTAACCAAACTTGGCAAGTGGCTCTGACAGACGTATATATTGTATATAATTCCCACTGGCTGATCTCAGGCGTGACGCTTATCTCGGCTTGTCAAGAGGGAGTGAAAAATCCCCCATCGCTTCACATCGCTGCTGCCCTTTCTGCCTGCCAAAATCTCCCTGTGGAGCTGGGGCAGTCGGGGCTGAGCCTTGGGGACCCCCAGGGGTGTGCAGGAGCCTGGGGCTGACACCCCCCAGGGACTTGGGAAGATGCTTGAGGCACCCCAGGGCCATCTCCATTGAGCAAATTGGGGTGTCTGGCCCCAAACAGTGGGGCTGAGACCCCAAGGAAGGGGATGGAGGGAGGAGAGGCACCAAGCCTGGCACATAATGGGCCCACATTGCCCTCCCCTGGGTCCTGAGGGAGCGTTGCTGTGGGGCAGAAGCTGCGGGGCTGGTGGGGACATTGTGGGGAGAGGGGATGGTGCTGGGGGCTGGGGGGCCAGGGGATGGTGTGAGGCCCTCAGCTGCAGCCCCAGGAGCTCAGCAGCTGCTGCTGGCACCTGCCCTGCAGCGGCAGAGCCGGGCGGCGAGCAGCGCTGCGGGCCCCAGGCAGCAGTGCAGCACTCCCAGCCCCTCGCTCAGCCCCAGCACATAGTCAAAGTGCTCGAAGGTGCCGCAGGTGGGCTGCAGCAGCTGGGTGTGCAGGAGGAAATCCACGGCCAGCCCCACACCATAAGGGACCCAGAGCCCAAAGAAGAGCCAGCTCGCACCAACACCTGCCTCCCAGCCCACCCTCAGCTGTGGCATGACCAGCGTGGCCGCCAGCAGCACCACTGGCAGCAGCAGGAAGAGGCAGAGGCAGAGGGCGAGGTGCAGCAGGTATGCTGGGGAGAGGATGTCCACACTCCGGCGGATGCAGCTTGTCTCCGGGGCTGCCACCGTGCCACTGGCAAGAGCTGCTGGCGTTGCCAGCAGCAGTGCCCCAACCCACACAGCCACGGCCAGCCGCCCGCCCCCCCCCGCCCCCGCCGGCTCCGGCGGTCCCAGCGGCACCAGACAGTGCTGCAGGAGCTGCTGCCCACCAGCAGCCCCTGCGTGAAGAGGCTCCAGTACCAGAGCAGGTAGGTGAGCCTGCACAGCCCTGTGCCCAGCCACCAGCCCTGCCTGATGCCCACCGCCACCGGCGGCAGCAGGGCGGCGAAGAGACCTGTCCCCACTGCCAGCTGGGCCACCAGTGCTCGGCTCTGGGGCCAGCCCCAGGCGTGGGGCCGCTTGGCCAGTGCCATCAGCAGCGCCCCAGTGCCCAGGGTGGCCGCAGCGCAGGTGACGGCCAGGAAGGTGGGAGCCACGCGCTGGAAGAGGGGACAGTACTGATTGTGGCAGGGCGCGGCATCGTAGTCCAGGGAGGTCATGTTGCTGTCATCATAGGAGAGGTTGCCCATGATGTCCAGCAGGTCCAGGGAGTTTTCGCTCTCCAGGATGCTGGGGCTCTGTGAATGAGACCAGTGGGCATCAGGGAGGGACGTACCCGGCCGACTGCAGGTGCCCGCATCCCACAGCATCGCTTGAGACATCCCCTCTGATGGGCTGCTGCTCCCCGCCATGGAGCTGCTGCCCTGCTGGTGCTGGGGGATTCATGTACAGTCCTGGTGCAGGTTGAGCAGGGCAATTTATCAGGGAGGGACACACTGCGGAGAGAGGGGAGGCCTTCTGCTGATACCTCAGGGGTGTGGGATTGTCCTGAGCTGGCCCCGCTGTACATGAAAGCACAAATTTTCTTACAGCCTCAAAGGAGGGTTGCAGACCCCTAGTGGGTGGGTGCAAACCCCACCGAGCTGTCTGCAAATGAGTGCCAGCAGTACCTGCTGAAAGCCGTGGCCCTGCTCACCACTGTGCACCCACGTGGCCCCAGCCCTCATGTCCAGTGGGATGGGAAATCGCTGGGAAGAAGCAGCAGGGGAGGGGAGAGGCACTTACCACCAGGATGCAGTTGCCCATGATGTGTGTCCCAGGACGGCACCTGCTCCTCTGTGTTTGGGATCTCCAATGGGTGCTGTGCGTGGCAGCCAATGCTCAGCCGCACATGCTGACTGCAGGGCGCTGTGCCCAGCGGTGCACACTCAGGGGTGCACGCTCTCTGATGGGCGCCACGCACGTCAGTGCACACTCTCCAAGAGCTGTGTTGCACAGCGGTGCCCGCTCCACTCACTCTCCCTCAGGCTCCACTCCTCCCGCTCAAAAGGGAGGCAAAGGACTGTGGTAACGAGATAAGAGCTGCCTCCTTAATGGCAGCCCTCCTGGCCTGGCAATCCCCTTTGCTGGGGTCTGAAGGAAACAGGCGGGTCACCACTGCCGGTAAAGCCAGTGAGCTGCCAGTGCAAGCCTGCAATTTCTCGAGCAGGAAACAATCAATTCCTGGCAGAACACCTTAAATTAATTAGGAATTGTATTTACAGGCACTCCGGCTGTGTGGATGCTCCTGTTGCTGTCCTGGACTCAGGCGTGTGCAGAGTTTCATCCCAGGGATGCCGGCTGAGTGCAAGCCTGGCTCTGGGGCATAGGGTGGGTGTTGCGGGTGCAGGATGCTGGCAGCTGCCGAGGGGACCCTGTGGTGGCGCAGCCTCAGCATGCGGTGCTTTCCAGCTCCCGTACAGCGAGGAAATCCGCAGCTCTTCCTCGAGACGCCCTGCTGGGAGGCCGGATCCTGCGGGGTCACCCTGTGACACCGGGGCTGAGTCATGGGCTCCCTGGGCTGCAGTGGGAAGCAAGCCCAGCTTGGCAGGGGACCGGCAGGGGCCGGTGGCACTTGGTGGCCCTCATGCCTGGTGGGAGCCTCCTTGGAGGGTGGTGGGGCTGGAGGGGGTGTCAGGGGGTTGGGACTGAGGGCTACTGTCATTTGGGGGGGCTGTTAATTTGGGAGGAGCTGAGGGTCAGGAGCTGTGTGTCTG